TTTAATTCCCATTTTGGTCCCTTAACTTTGCAATTTTGCATTGATTTGGTCCCTCAATTGAATTTTGCACTTTTTTCATCCTTAACTCATTAATGTTGTACCAAAATGGTCCCTCCGTTAAAGACTTGCCAACATGGTACGATAACCTAACAGAAAACCTGATGGCAGTAGTAGAACGCCACCGTTCCCCAGTTTTCTCACGCACTGAGAGAGATGCATCGAATAATTGTTGGTTTTAATTGTTTAAAAGCAATTGTCGGTTTTAATCAGTTGAATATCTCTTTTTTTAGTACATCTAATGATGAATTATATATATATATAAAACATTTACCTTTTCCTAAATTCCTTCTTATCCTACTTAAAGTTCAAATATAAAATCTCTAATTTAATATCTCAGATTTAAGTAGTTAAATCACCTTTTTAGGATATTAGTTAATAGATCTTGTACTTTAATAGTAAAATTTTGTTTTTCTTTTCAAAATAAAAAAATAGTTTTAAAGCAAATCTTTACACAATTTGAAAGAGAAGACCCAACTACAACATTGATTAAGGCCTAATCTTCGCTGTTCCATTCATGGCCCATCAAACATTAAAACCCAAATTCTAGTAAACTTAGGCCCTCCATCCAATCCAATACTTCAATAATCAGAGGCTCCTAATAATTGCAAAAATTTCCCCTCGAATTTTGGATCTTCTTCTCTCCTCCTCGTTAAAACTCAAAACCACCTTTACCATTAATCTAGCAATTGTAATTAACGATTTTTTCATGAGGGGTGCTAGGGGCACTCGCCTTCTGCACTCTCCGGCCAACACTTTCACTTTTATTGGGCCACGTTATTCTAATAGCGAAGAGGTTGCACTTCAAAACCTAAAATAAGCTTACGTGGCCCAATGAAAGGGGAAGTGTTGGCCGGAGAGTGGAAGAGGCAAGTGCCCCTAGCACTGCTCTTTTTTCACTATCACATTGTCCATATAGGTTATTTATAGAGAGTATTATTATTTGAATTTAGATGTTTTATTTGTAATTCAGTAGTATTTTGTTGAACAAAAAAAGAAATTTTTTTTTTAAATTTGAAAATAATTAATTATATAAAATAAATTATTTATACATAATACGATTTATTTGAACTATAATCATGAAATTATTACATTAACCATTATTATTATAATCCAATAATATATTATGTAAATACAATATTGACTAATACTATTTTTTTAGAACAACAATGCAAGATAAATTTTATATTATTAAGTAAGTAGAATGGGTACTTTAACTGTTATATGAGAGAGATATACAAGAAAAACAAATGAAGTATAATATTGTCTCTACTTTCCTCCTTAACCATATTTCATGAGCTAATTTCACTCTAAGATTATTAATCAATTTAAGTAATATAATGATGAAAATTAAGTATCATCCCATAGATTGTAAATTAATTAAATATCAAAATTAACTAATTTTAATTTTATTTGAACAATTGTAATTAAATAATTTGAATGAACTAATTAACTAAATTAATTAAAAGAAAACTAAATTGATTTTAAGTAGCACAAGTTACATTACAGCTTTAGTGACTAAATTAGCTCATAATTAAAATAAAAAAGAAAATCAAAGATCTCATGACAAGTATAAGAGTACTTAACATCAATAAACAAAATTAAAGACAAATAAAATTAATTTAATAATATAAAATCTCAAGTTTTGCTTTTTGATGTTGGTTTCTCTTAATTGTTTCTCCCTTAGTCTGTCCCAAAAGCCCTAAATTTAATTTTTGAATTGCTATTTATAGAATTTAAAAACATTATTAAAAAAAAAAAAAGTAGACTCAGGATAAAACAGGAAATTCCAAAGCCGGATGTGCTTTTGAAGTTGACACCATGTGTCGATACCATGCACTTGTCGGGTTTCCAACCCCTTTTACAATTTCTTAAATGGTAAAATAGCACATCTGATCCTCCAGATGTTTCATGATGAGAACTTTGATCCTAGAACTTAAGATTCATTCATTTAGGTCTCAAAAGGTAACATTTCTTTTCACAATTCTCTCCCTGAACTTTGAAAAGATATTTAATTAATCCCAAAACTCTTATTATTATGCATTCAAGTCCTTTTTTACAAAAAATGAAAATGATGTAAAATTTATTGAAAATCACATATTATCTTTGTAAATAGTAATAAAATTAAGGCTAATATAACAAATTAAAAAAATATAAAATGCTTCT